AATATTCACAGTGTGACAAATCTGTTAGCACTTGTCGATCCACGTCAGCTGACAGTTCTTCAACTCTCCGCGCAACAGTGGTCGGGACACGCTGGATACTGCGGAGCGCAGTTTTGATGTCATCTTTGTTGCTGAAGCTGTTGAAAACCGTATCTGCAGTGATGGCCATTGCCTCTTTGAATAAATCGTCCTCTGTAAAAGGCTTCTTATGTTTAGCCAAAAGATGACTAATATGGAATGAAGCTTCAGTCGCAGCCTTATGTTGAGCAACAGGTTTTGTGAAAAGTGACTGCTGGATCTTCAAACTCGCTTTCAGCTCAGCAACTTTTCTAGCGCGGATTGCGCTCTTGGCGGGGAAACTGTCTTTGAATTTGACGTGGTTGGTGTTGTGGTGTTGCTTCAGATTTCCTCTTTTAGACAGCGCAAGCGTTTGGTGGCACAGCATACAAATACACTTGTTTTTCACCATGGTGAAAATAAATTCCTCTTCCCATTCCTCATTAAAATGATAAGTTTTCGATTTTTTTCACGCAGCTGTTGCCATACCAGCTGACCACATCTGCTGTCACCTATCAAATGTCTGGCTTGAGAGCTAGTGCCATAAATTGTAATTTTGGGACAGTTAATTCTCAAGCTTTATTTTGTTATCGGGATCTATAGGGAATGTTTCAAAGATCTACCAGTCGATCGCGATCGACGGGTTGGCGACCACTGATGTAGAGGTTTCCCCTTGCTCAATTATGACACAGTTTATCCTTCCAGGGGGGTAGAAGGTCCAGGCCTATCCAGTGGATCAGGAAGGCTTCCTGCCGGAGAACAAAGACAGAGCAAGCTTAGACTCAGAAAGACAAGGCTAAAGGTTGGACTCAGCTAATCTCAGTTGGGCTAGAGTGCCCAATACTGGCAAACACTGGCGTCGAGGTAGTGACAGCCCACTGCTTAAATACTCCTCTGGTGATGACCCAACGAGCCGCAGGTGTGCGAGGAGGCTCAAATGAAGACAGGGCACCATCTAGTGGTGGTAAAAGAAAACACAAAAAACCCCACACAAAATGGATTCTTAACACTAGGGAAAAGCAGACAAACAAGATAGGGCAACACATAAAAACCTACAAACTCAAATCTAACCAGAAAACAAAACAAAATGCAAATTAAACCAATAAAACTAGAAAACATGGAGCAAAGATACACTGAATACTCAAAAGAAAAAAATAACAGAACCTAGAAATATCCATTACTGTAAAAATGTCCATAGCTGTATATCGATTATTTATTCTCCAGGCGCACAGCTTTATATTATGAAAACATTTTACAGTACAGTATTTTCTTGTTATTTTATTGTTTATTATTCCTATACAACACAAAATGCGGAATATATTTACAGACATCCCAAGTCTCCCGGAAGTTCCGGGAGTCTACCTGATATAGATAGTTATTCACGGATGCCCGCAAGTCGGATAAACTATCCCGGATTTCACTGTCTGCGAGGTGGTGTTTTTTTATTGTGAGTGAAAGTGAACAGGCAACACAATAATTTGTGCATCATGTGCGGATTAGAACTACTGAGATTGTGCAGACAACAAGACAGTGTGGGGTGTGGGGAGGAGGTTGTTGGTGAAACCTGTGCAGCGTATCTGTCAGAAGCGATGCTCTGTTCAACGAGCGGTCGAGGCGACTGGTTATCAGAGAGCTGATTGGATCAGTCCCATAAGTTTCTCTGGGTTACTGTCTGGCAGTCACCTAGTTACCACTCAAAGCTGTGCATCCTGTGAAACAGCAGAGGTTGAATCCTCGAGTAATAACGAAAATATAGGACTAATTTTACAGCAGAATATATTAAAGTATATCCACGTCTAGTGAAGGTGAGGAACAGTGGCGGATCGAGACCAAATGTACCAGGGGTCCAGGTGGGGGCCAGTGTGTTTTCATGGGGGAATAGAAAAGCATGAAATAAAAAACAGGGCAAGAGATTCAAATATATTAAGAGAGCTGCATGAAGTGAAATTTCTTTTCAATTAGGTTCAATAAAAATTATACTTCTTATGAGGTCAATATACATTTATAATTTAGGATTTTTACATAGTTTTGACTTAATTTAAGTTAAAAGTACTGTTTTCTGTAAAAATTTGAATTAGAACTCAAGAAAAACTGTTAAATTAATCTGTAAAAATTAGATCCTATCTCAATACCACTGAAGCTGTCACCTTATTGTTTTTGAATAATTAGTAAAACAGAATTCGTAAAGAAAAAGAATGAAATAGTTCCAAAGGACTTGTCAGTAACCATGTCTGTTCCAGCGCATATCATCATTAGAATTTCTTTAAAATGAGTTTTTGGAACTCGGGATGTTGAGAAGTGTTTGTTTCCTTCCTTCACCGCCACTGAGTGCCACTCTCAGACTGTGCGTAATTTCTTTATAAGCTGTTTAGTCCAGTTGTTGTTGAAAGACAACCATGTTGACCACGCTATAGCCATTATTCTTAATATTTAAACATTGAAAAGACTCGCAGATATGTTTGCTTTGCAAATGCATTGTTCCCACTTGTTAAACTTCAGAGAGGGTGAGGGCAGCGCGTCATTACGCACGTGCTGTACTTAGAGCATCACCAGCCGCTGACAGCAGCGCGAAGGAGACCAACATAGAGGAGGGAGGCTGGAGCTGTGTCACGGAGGGGGAATGTCGCACTAGCCGGTATTTTTTTAGACTTTCCATCTGTTATGGCAGCTTTTTGTGGAGCCACGCCGCAAACGACAAGGTAAGGACTGTGCGTGTTTGGTGGCGGGGGTTAAACGGGTTTTCTCCCCGACCACTATTTAATCTCTCTCCTGGGAGACAAGTGAAGGCTGCACAATAAAGTGCGTCCTCTGGTCAGTCCTGCAGATATGTATCTGTTTCTGAGGCGCATTTTCCAACCTCCCTTGGTTAACAATTGTTTTTATGCAATGACAAATGCTTTTGAGAATGTCAGTAAGGCCAGGGGGAAATGGGGTTTTCTGTTTTTGCATATCAGGATTCATGGAGCAAGCATTAATTTACTGATAATTGGAAATAATCATTTAATTAAGTGGATAAGAACATAAAGAAAAAAAAAACGCTAAAATGTTTTTTTTTTAATCAAATTTAACTTTAAAATTTAAATTTTTTGTCAAATTCTTGTTTTTATTTGTTTTTTTTTTTACTTCTTCCTGGGATTTGATTTGCATTCTGTTATAAAATAGTTTTAAATGGAAGGACATGTAATACATATGTTAAATAGGTTACTTTTTTAAAAAGAGTTAATTGATGAAACTGAAATTTTTGTATGAGGTCTTTGAAGATAGCCGTAGCAGTAGTATATATATGCAGTATATATGACTATATGATTTTTTTTAAAGTAATTTCCAAATAGAATAATTTTATCAGTCCCCAAAGCTTGTTTTATAATAAAATCGGATGTTTTTAAAGATTGTATGAGAAAATACATAGGAATATTTCAATTCCCTGTAATAACCAATTATATGGACTGCAAATGTTCCTGATTTCTGGAGCATTTTGTAAACTCTACACCAAATTAATATTCTTTATTTTTAAGCAGTCTCTAATCAAAAATGCATGAATTAATTTAAATCATATACGTTGTTTATTTTAATTAAAATAAATATTTCCAAAAAGAAGACGTTTCCTTTCAGTTTGGATATTTAAAATTATGGTCAGGAACTCCTAATGAGTTCTTAAGACATTTTAAAAGCAGTAAAACAACCTCTACCTAAATGTGTCATAAAATGTAATTTTAGTGTTTTGCTTCCTTTTAAAAGTATGTCTATTACCTTTTACTATTTTGTAAAGACATCTACAGTAACCTGTGTAATGCACAGAAATGCCCACAGACATAAGAGTTTTATTTATTTATTTATTAGACAAGACCTGATTATTCTTCTTCAATGCAGGCCATACACTTTTGTAATATTTTTGTTAGCAGCATATTTTACATACTTATATTAATAGTATTATTATTTCAACAATCAAGCATTAATCTGTATTGCAGAGGCAATCATGTGAAATCTTATACTCCCCATATTGGATAATTCAGGAACAAAACATTGTTTAACATTGTCTAGGCAAAACAACACTTTTCACAGTACAGATTATAATATGACGGTCAATTTTTATCCATCCATCCATCCATCCATCCATCCATCCATCCATCCATCCATCCATCCATCCATCCATCCATCC